CTTGAGTATCAGTCACCAAGTACAGGAAATGTATATTGTTATTAATCTTGTTAATTGTTTTTTTAGGCTTTGATATTCAACCGTACTGTCGATGATTTAGATAGGTGGATAGACGATGTGGAAATTCAGATGGCGTCAACAGACTTGGGGAAAGATCTCACAAGTGCTAACAACTTACTCAAGAAACACCAGGTGAATAGAAATACTTGAATTGAGTGACTTCGTGAGTGAGGTTACATTGATCTTATTGATCGGCAAGAAATGAAAGTCCGTATGATTTTAATTGCATATCAGTTAAATTTGTCATGCTTTCAGTCATAATTTTAATGTTGACAGATACTAACTGATTGAAAAAATACATTCTGTGTGATTCATGTTGCTATGCTAAAATTATTTGCATTTACGTGATTTGCTCTATTTTCATCTCAAGTCTGTTTATGAATTGATGGATGTAAACATGTTGACAGTAAACAAATACATACTTTCACAGTAAAATAAACATAATAATCACTCATATCATTCCCTTTTAGCACCTTGAAACACAAGTAGCTAACCATCAACCGAAAATTGATGAAGTTCAGTCTTTATCGCGAGCTTACATCGATCATAATCATTTCCTTGCTGACGAAATGGCTGTACGAAGTAATGCTTTGGCAGATAGGTAAGATAAAAACTAGTCATGTGACAGCATAGTTGCTACTAGGCTTGGATTGATAAAAAGCATAACAGAACATAGAACTCATTAGCATTGTACATTTTCTGAGAATTCCTCGTCCATCCATAATTCTCTCTAGTTTCATACTCATAAATGGTTTACTTGATTAGGTATGCTGGTTTATGGGAACCACTGCATGCAAGGAAAATCAACTTAGAAGAAGCATTGTTGTTGTATCAGTTCTATCGTGATGTAGAGGACGAGGAGTCATGGATAAAAGAGAAACAGCCCTTGGCCACATCAACTGAATTGGGCCAGAATCTTAACACTGTGCAAAGTCTGATGAAAAAACACCAGGTAAGCTTGGTTGAAACATACTAGGCATTATCAATCCCAGTAAATAGTGTGTGGATAAAGTGGCTAACAAATGAGATGACATGGGGTTTAAACATGAGATTAAGTGGGGTTTGCAAATGAAATAGTGTGAGGTTTACAAATAAGATGATGTGGCATTTACAAATGAGACAATGCAGGGTTTACAAATTAGATGATGTGGGGTTTACAAATGAGACAATGTGGAGTTTACAAATGAGACAATGTGGGGTTTACATAAATAAATTTAGAGTTTACTGCAAGTGTAATATTGTTGAGTTTTAAACAATAGACATGTAGTTTACATCAAAGAAAATGGTGTGGTGTTTACAACAATGTATTGTTCACAATAAATGAGATAGCATCAGGGTTAACTAATGAAATGGCTTATAATTTATGTAACAAAACTAATATACCAACAATGACTTATTTGTCATCAGGCATTAGAAGCAGAGATCACTGCCCATGAACCACTGGTTGAAACAGTAGCTAAGAAAGGGGAACAGTTAATGAGTCAGCAACACTATGCGACTGAAGATATCAAAACAACTGTGGCCGAAATTCACCAGTTATTAGCAGAATTGAAAGACTCTGCTGCTGAGAGGAAGAAACTACTCACTGATGCACTGGAGTCACAATTGGTGAGTTCACAATATAGCACTCAGTTATAGTTAAGAACCAGTACTTGGGATACTTATTGTATGCTAATTAAATTGATGACATGAATTTGTAAATTTAGATACCGTTTATATGTTTTCTGCATCTTGACTGCTTGAACTGGACCT